GGTATCACCAGCCCAAAGAGGAAATATATGGAGAAAAAGAACTCTGGGCCCAGGGAAGTATTAAATGTAGCTCATTATAAAATGAGCATTGATGTTATTTCATCTTGTTCTCTTCCTTTTGGAGAGAGAACGCGTGGCATCCTGTTGCAGTGTAACTCTTGGCTCTCTCTGTATTCACTATGACAAGCCTGAAGTATATGCGGTAGCACCCTGACTGCCTGCATTGTGATCAACATGTGGTGTGGAGATAATCTGTACGTAGGAATCCATTCTGTTAAGGGTATCTGGATTGTTAGCCATATTTTTAAATTAAACTTTTTATTCTGAGATATTTCTAGATTCACAAGTAGTTTTAAGAAATAATACAGAGTGATCCCAGGCCCTCTTTACCCAGTTTCCCCAATGTAATATCTTGTAAAACTGTAGTACATTATCACAGCCAGGATACTGACGTTGATACAGTGAAGAGCATAACATTTCCATCACAAGAATCCCTCATGCTGTCCTTTTATAGCCACATCTACTTTCCTCTCTCCCCTTTCTCCCTGAGCCCTAGAAACCACTAATCTGTTCTTCATTTCTATAATTTAGAATAACATAAGAACGTTACGTAAAGGGAGTAAAGTATGTAACCTTTTGGGATTGGCTTTTTTCACTCAGCATACTTGCCTGTAAATTCATTCAGTTGTTGTATGTATCAATGGTTCTTTTCTTTTTATTGCTCTTAGTATTCATGATATGGATACCAGTTTGTTTAAACATTCACCTGTTGAAGGGCATCTGGGTAGTTTCCAGTTTTCAGCTGTTACAGATAAAGCTATTAACATTTGTTTACAGATTTTTGTTTGAACATTAGTTTTCATTCCTCTGCGATAAATACTAAATAGTGCAACTGCTGCATTATGTGGTAGTTGCATATTTTGTTTTATAAGAAATTGCTAAACTGTTTCCAAAGTGGCTGTATGGTTTTACATTCCCAACAGCAGTGTGTGAGATCAAGTTTTCACTAACGTTTGCCATCACTATTTTTTTAATTTTAGCCATTCTGATGGGCATGTAGAGGCATGTCATTGTGGTTTGGATTTGCATTTACCTAATATTTAATGATATTAAACATCTCTTCATGTGCTTATTGTATAAAGCTGGTGTTAATGCTTCTGTAAATGGTAAAATTCTCCAGTGGAATCGGCCGGGCTGGAGGGGTTTTTTTTTTCCCTAAGAGTTTTTAAAATACGTACTCAATTTCTTTAATGGTTATAGGACTATTCAGGTTGTCTGTTTCATTTAGTTGAGTTCAGCGGTTTGCAGTTTTTGAGGAATTGTTTTTCTTCTAACTTGTTGAATTTATGACCATAAAATTTTTTATAGTATTCATTTATCCTTTTAATAGCAGTAGGATGTGTAGTGATATCCCTTACTTCATTCCTACTGTTGGTAATTTGTGTATTTTCTTTTATCTTTGTCATCGCTAGTTTAGCAACGAATCAGCTTTTTTTCATTGATTTTTCTCTATTATTTTTCTGTGTTCAACTTTATTGATTCTGCTTTTTTATTATTTCCTTTCCTCTGCTTGCTTTTTTTTTACTGCTTTTTCTGGTTTCTTAAAGGGAGGACTTCAGATGATTGGTTTGAGACCTTTAGCTTTTTTCTGATATAAGCATTTAGTGTTATAAATTTTCCTAAGCCCTGCTTAGCTGCATCCTACATATTTTCATATGTTGTGTTTTCATTTGTGTTACATTATTATTTATTTCTCCTTGTATTTTTTTTCACAATTTTTTGGGATTTCAGATTTTGTTTGACTCATGAGCTGTTTAGATGTATGTTCAATTTCTAAGTGTTTAGAATTTTTTTTTGTCGTCCTCCTGAAATGTGTTACTAGTTTGATTCCATTACTGTTAGACAACATACTCAGTATAATACCGTTATACTCAGTATATATCCATATAATTTCAGTTCTTTTAAGTTTGTTGAAGTTTGTTTTATGGCCCAGGATTTGGTCTATCTTGGTGAATGTTCTTTAGGAACCAGGAAAAAAAGTGTGTGTATTGTACTGTTCTAGGTGGAGTTTTCTGTATATGTCATTTAGATCCTGTTGGTGGGCCATTTTGTTCTTTTATATCCTTGCCAATTTTCTCTCTAGGAGTTCTACCAGTTGCTGAATGTGGGATGTTGAAATCCTCAACTATAATTGTGCATTTGTCTGTTTCTCTTTTCAGCTTGATTAATTTGACTTCATGTATTTTTCAGCTCTGCTGTTTTGGTGCTGTTTGGTGTTTTGGCAGATTGATCTTTTTGTCCTTATGCATTGTCCCTGTTTTCACTAGTAACTTTCTTTTCTCTGACATACACTTGGACTAATATTAATATAGCCAGTTTTGCTTTTTTCTTTAATAATTGCCTGGTTTATCTTTTATCATCCTTTCACTCTCAACCTAGCTATGTCATCAGATTTAAAGTGGTTTTTTGTTTTGTTTTGTTTTGGTTTTTTTTGTGGCGAGCATATTGTTTTTTCAATCTACCTTGCCAATCTTATGATTTTAAATGGTATATGTAGGCCATTATATTGAAGGTAATTATTTATATTTCTTATTTAACTTTTATCTTTTTATCTCCTATTTCTAGTTCCACTGTTTCTCTTATTTAGACTTTTTTTAGGATTCTATATTTGTTTATGTATTTGTTTTGTCTGTGTTTTTTAGTATATTGCTTTGTGTAGCTTCCTGGTGGTTGCTCTGGGTATTACATTGTACATAGTAACTTCTCACAGTCTACTGATAAACAGGTTTACTAGTTTGAATGACATATAGAAATTTTACTTACATTTAAGCTTCTTTTCCTACTCCACTTTTAAGATATAATTGTCTTAGATATTTCCTCTACATACCTTAAGCAGCATATCAGATTGTGTTGCAGTTTTCATTTAACCATGAAAGTGATTTATGAAACTAATGAGAAATACAGATTGTGTTGCAGTTTTCATTTAACCATGAAAGTGATTTATGAAACTAATGAGAAATAAAATAGTATTTATATTCACCCCTATTTTAACCTATTCTGATCTTCCTCTTTCCTTTCTGTAGTTCCAAGCCTCCTTCTGCTATCTTTTTTTCTCTTCCTTATGAACTTTCTAGCCACCAGTCTTTTAGGTTAAGTCTGCTGGTAACAGGTGCTCTTAGTTTTCCTTAGTTGGAGAATGTCATATCTCCCTTCCCTTTCTGAAGGATATTTTCACTGAGTATAGAATTCTGGGTTGACAGTTCCTTTCTTTCAGCACTTGAAAGATATGCCACTTTCTTCTGATCTCCATGGTTTCTGATGTTTCTCTCTGTTGTTCACATTTCGTAAATGATATTGGTTCTTGATTCTATCTTTTGTCTTTTCCACCGTACTACAGAGCCCATTTGGCAAGTTTTGTATTTCAGCTATTTTTCCGTTCCAAAATTTGTATTTTGCTCTTTATATTCTTTTTTTTTTTTTTTTTTTTTTTGCTGAGATTCAATTTTTTGTTTGTTTCAAGCATGTTTGTAATTGTTGAAACTTTTTTTTGATGACTGTTAAAATTCTTGTCAGGTAATTCTAACATCTGATTCATCTCAGTCTTATTCAAGCTGTAATTTTCCTGGTTCTTGGTATAAGTGATTTTTTTTATTGTATCGTTGTATCTTGGACATTTTGAGTATGGTGTTATGAGACTCTGCATCTGATTTAAATCTTCCATTTTAGTATACCTCCTCTGACACCATGGCAGCCAAGTAGGGGTGGAAAGCTAGGTTCCATATTTGGTCTCTGCTGATAGCCTGAGAGGGAAGTGCTTTACTACTGCTCCCGCCTGGCGTCCCCTGACACCGTGAGGGAAGACCCTGTTACCATCGGGCAGAAAGTGAAAGCTCTGGCTCCTCACTCACACTCCGTGACACCACCCTAGCAGGCGTCAGTGGCAGTGTCTCAGTATAGCCAGGCAAGAGTAAAGCCGAGCCTCCTCATTCATCCTTTGGCAACTAAGGTAGGGATGCGGCCACAGATTGTTCTTGGTGTAAGGTAGGGATGGGGCCACAGATTGTTCCTTGGTGTAAGGTAAGGATGGGGCCACAGATTGTTCCTTGGTGTAAGGTAGGGATGGGGCCGCAGATTGTTCTTGGTGTAAGGTAGGGATGGGGCCGCAGATTGTTCCTTGGTGTAAGGTAGGGATGGGGCCACACGTTGTTCCTTGGTGTAAGGTAGGGATGGGGCCGCAGATTGTTCTTGGTGTAAGGTAGGGATGCGGCCACAGGTTGGTCCTTGGTGTTTGGCAGGGGTAGAGTGGTTATTGTCTCACATTTTTCTGCCTTTCAAGGCTATACCTTTCCTGGTTCTTTGGCTAAAGGGAAAAGGCTCTTCTTGGGATTTTTTTTTCTTTTCTTTTTTTTAGTCTGTGACTTTTGGCATTTCCGACAGTTTGGGACATGTTAAGAACCCAGCCTGTGGTATCTTAAGCAAAAAGGAAAGCTAAGCTTTCACTGTCATGCTGTTCCTTAGGCCTCGTAGTCCCTAGCCTGCCTATCTTCTCTGTACCTTTCAGAGTTTTACGTTTATTTTCTGTGTAATATCCAGAGTTTTAGCTGCGCTTAGTGGAAGAAGAAGATGTGCATCTATTCCTGAATTGAGTTTTTAAATGTATATATTACTTTATTTAGCTAGAATGTACTAACAGTTTTTAAAAATTATGTTAGGAAAATCTTGCAGAAACAGTATTTGAGTATCACAAAAAAGTAAAAACCAGCACAACCTATTTACATGGGCTCTAATGGCCAGTTTTTAAGGGATTTTCTAGAGTGGTAGAAATAAAATTGTGCCTTAAATATTTTATTTGTGGCATATTTGTATTTTAATCACCACCTTACTTTGATGAAATTAATGAAATATTGTACTGTTTTGGCTATAGAAACCTGGCACAGTTGAATTATAGCACAATTAGTTTTTGCTGTTCTAATGTGCTTTTTTTTTCCTCTTTCCTCCAGGGCTGGTGGACTAGGCCTCAATTTTGTCGGTGCCAATGTTGTTGTATTATTTGATCCTACTTGGAATCCAGCCAATGATCTTCAAGCCATTGACAGGTATAATACTGACAAAATTTAAAGTGATCTGCAAACACTTTTAATCTAAAAATACTCTTGAACTTTTAAGGTTGCTTATACTATGACTATGATTAGAAGAAAGGGGGAAACTTGTAAAAACGTACATTTGAGATAATCCTAACCTTCTCAAGCCAAATAACAGTCCAAAAATAGCCATTTATTTTTCATCCATCTCAGAATCCTGTTAATATGACATAAATGACTTAAAAAGAAAGAATAAATTCCTAATACTGCAGGAAAATAGGATAGTTCTATAGTAGTAGATCCGAAGTTTTGAGAAACTCTTGGAAGATAAAAAGCAAGTAGAATCTGTGATCAGGATATCAGCAGAGAAATACTACAAAGTCTGCAGAAAAGAATACAGAAATTTTAAGCATGGGGCTGCAATTACAGTATGTGGGAGTAGACAGAGTGCATCCTTCTGGGAAACTGAAAATGTCCTGACTCGAATACAAATTCCCCTCCCACACCCTACTTTACAGAGAGTTTGGCTGTAACAGGTACTCTTTGATTAAAGCTGAAAGAATACTTTTACACATTTTATAAATAAATGGGGAATCTGACTGTAGAAAGCTTCCTAGAATGGGTGTTGGAACCAGATCATAAAGCCAGAGCAAAGCCTGTAGTACTTCCAGATTTCCCCAGGACATGAAAAGGGGAAATACACGTGTTACCTGCGTGGAGACACAGACCGGCTTTCCAGTGATTCACCTAGTCATCATTTTAATTATGAATGGGAAATGAAGAATTATGAAACATTTTAATAAAGCTAGCCTAGCAAGAAAGCAAAGGACAAAGGTGAAAACAGACATTGAAGGGAATAAAATAAGAATAGGATGCCAAGGAAAAAAGTACATAAAAAACCAAATTAGTTCTTAGAAGTTAAAACTCTTGCCAAAATAAAGTAACTCAGTTGAAGGTCTGAAAAAAATGGAGAGGGCTAAAGTTAGTAATTGATATGGAAGATAAAAGGAATGAATATTTATAAACATAAAGTCAAGTAACAAATAGATGTGAAATATGAGTAAAGAGAAATTGAGGAAAAATCCTAGAAATCATCATCTGTCTGTTCCAGAAATAATGAACAGAGAGGCTGGAGGACAGGGAAGATAATTGATGACATGATTGGAGAAAATTGTTATTAATTTTGAAGGGGCATTTAGTATGAAGTAGGAATAATGACTGAGAGAGAGAAAACATACGTGTTAGTAATATTTCTAAGTTTCAAAGATAGAAGGGCTAAAAGGTTCCAGAGTGAGAAACAGGGAGAGAATGATTTATAAAAACTGCAACAAAAAGGAAAAGACACATTATCAACAAAGAAATGAGAATCAGACTCAATTCAGCAGGTCAGACTTTGAAGAACATACATTTCGTCAGCATTACTCAATTCAGCAGGTCAGACTTTGAAGAACATACATTTCGTCAGCATTATAGGATTCTAGATGACAACAGAGTTGTCAAAATGAAAAAATTTATATGGCTATATGTGAAAGAAAATTATTTTGACTTGTATTTACAATTTGTGGCTAAAAGTTTAAGTCTAAAAAATTACTGGGAGCGTAGCTGAGAGGCTTCATGCAGTTATAAAGAAAGAATTCCCCAAAATGGCCAGGCGTGGTGGCTCAAGCCTGTAATCCCAGCACTTTGGGAGGCTGAGAGGGGCGAATCACGAGGTCAGGAGATCGAGACCACCCTGGCTAACACAGTGAAACCCTGTCTCTACTAAAAAAATACAAAAAAACTACCCGGGCGAGGTGGCGGGCGCCTGTAGTCCCAGCTACTCGGGAGGCTGAGGCAGGAGAATGGCGTAAACCCAGGAGGCGGAGCTTGCAATGAGCCGAGATCTGGCCACTGCACTCCAGCCTGGGCGACAGAGCGAGACTCCATCTCAAAAAAAAAATTCCCCAAAATATGAAGGGATGGTATGAAAAAATTAGTAACAATCAAGAACTAAAATGTTATATAATTTTGATAAAATGTCAGAATACGAGTAGAGGTAAAATTATCTTAGAATTCTCCTCAGGAAAGGACCGGGAAACCCTGGTCAGTTCTCAAATTGTATGCCAAAAAATGTTTTTAAATGCTAGCAAAAAATTTAGGAGCAACAACTAAAAGAGTGAGTTACAATAATCATCTAGTACAATTTTCAAAAACACGAATACTCAAACTCCACCCTGCAGACATTCTGATTATGTAGATGTAGAATGGGACTCAACATCCTATATTTTAAAAAACACCCAGGTTGTGGATCAAAGGACACTTATCAACAGAGAAAGAAAGCAGTCTACCGAATGGGAGAAAATATTTGCAAATCACCTATCTGATAAAGTATTAATATCTAGAATATAAAAAGAACTCCTAAAACTCAACAACAACAAAAAACATAACTCAGTCTAACAATGAATAGGACATTTCTCCAAAAAAGGTATACAAGATATGGAAGTGGCCATTAAGCACATGAAAAGATGCTCTGCATCACTAATCATTAGGGAAATGCATATCAGAACTATAATGAGATACAGCTTCACACACATTGGGATGACTATTGTAAAAACAAAAGCAACAATGGAAAACAGCAAGTCCTAGTTGAGGATATGGAGAAATTAGAACCCTTGTGCATTGTGGATGGAAATGTCAAGTGGCACAGCTGCTGTGGAAAACAGCATGGTGGTTCCTCAAAAAATTAAACATAAAATTACCACAGGATCCAGCAATTACACTTCCACTCTGGGTATATACCAAAAGGAATTGAAAGCAGAGACTTGAAGAGATATTTGTACACTCATGTTCATAGCACCTATATTCACAATAGCCAAAACGTGGAAGCAACTCAGGTGTCCATCGATGGATGAATGGATAAACAAAATATGATATACACATAAAATGGAATACTATTCAGCCTTAAAAAGAAATGAAATTCTGGTCATTGCTGCAACATAGACAAACCTTGAAGACGTTATGCTACATGAAATAAGCCAGCTATGAAAGGACAAATACTGTATGATTCTGCTTTTACGAAATACCTGGAATAGTTAAATCCATAGAGATAGAAAGTGGAATAGTGCTTATTAGGGGATAAGGGTAGGGAGGAATGGGGATGTATTGTGTAGTGGGTATGGAATTTCAGTTTAGGATAATAAAAAAGTTGTAGCAATGGATAGTGGCGATGGTTAGAAAACCAAATTTAATACCGTTGAACTGTATTCTTAAAAATAGCTAAAATGGTAAATCTTGTGATGTGTGTTTTGCACAATTAATTTTAAAAACCACCCAAGGTGATTATGATACAATTAGTTCTCAACTCCACTTTGAAAAACACTGGATAATAGGTGTAAAGCTTGCACAAGAAACAAGATTACCAAGAAAATGTAATTATTTTAGTACCTGATAGGAAATACATCATTGTGTTGGGAAGATGGGGGAAACTCAGAAAGCATGACGAATGAAATGTCAGAAGTAAATCCAAACATAAATATTAATATGTTGAGACTCTTTTTAGAAAGAAGGAAAAAAGTGGGGCTGGCAGAAAGGAAAAATTAGACTCAGGTTTATGCTTGTTACGAAACATGTATGTAAATATAAAAGACACAAAGTTGAAAATAAGATTAAAAATTCAAAGCAGGGAGATGGTAACAATCCTGGCTAACACAGTGAAACCCCATCTCTACTAAAAATACAAAAAATTAGCCAGGCGTGGTGGCGGGTGCCTGTAGTCCCAGCTACTTGGGAGACCAAGGAAGGAGAATGGCGTGAACCCGGGAGGCGGAGCTTGCAATGACCCGAGATCGCGCCACTGCACTCCAGCCTGGGCAACAGAGACTCCGTCTCAAAAAGAATAATAAATAATAATAAATCAACTAGGCTAAATAGATACGTAAATTACTTAAATAAAAGTTATCTACCATAATTTAATAACTGTATACAGACACATCTCATTTTATTGCGCTTCACTTTATTGGGCTTTGCAGATAATTGCCTTATTTACAAATGGAAGGTTTGTAGAGATCCTGAGTCAAGCAAGTCTTCCAGCACCATTTTTCCAATGGCATATGCTCACTTGCGTCTCTGTGAGAATGTAAGTTTTTCATTATCACATCTGTGATGGTGATCTGTGATCACTGATCTTTGAAGTTGCCATTGTATTTGTTTTGGAGTACCATGAACCATGCCCCCATAAGATGATGAACTTAATTGGTGGATGTTGTGTGTGTTCTGACTGCTCCGCTTACTGGCCATTCCTCTGTCTCATTCCCTCCCTTAGGCCTCCCTCTTCCCTGAGACACAGTATTTAAATTAGGCCAATTAATAACTCTGCAACGGCCTTTAAGTGGTCAAGTGAAAGGAAGAGTTGCTTGTCTGTCACTTTACCTCGAAAGCTAAAAATGATTAAGTTTAGTGAGGAGGACATGCTGAAAGCCAAGATGGACCAAAAGCTAGGCTTCTTGTACCTAACAGTTGGCCAAGTTGTGAATGCAAAGGAAAAGTTCTTGAAGGAAATTAAAAGTGCTACTCCAGTGAATACATGAATGACAAGAGCACCAAACAGCCTCATTGCTGATACAAAGAAAGTTATAGTGGTCTGGATCAAAGATCAAACCAACCACAGCATTCCATTAAACCACAACCTAATCCAGAGCAAGGCTCTAAAACACCTCAGTTCTTTGAAGGCTGAGAGACGAAAGGAAGTAGCAGAAGAAAAGTTTGAAGCTGTAGGGATTGGTTCATGATGTTTAAGGAAAGCAGCCACCTCTGTAACAAAAAAGTGCAAGGTGAAGCAGCAAGTGCTGATGTAGAAAAACTGCAGCAAATTAAGGTACCTACGTTAAACAGACTTTCAGTGAGAACAAAACAATCTTACATTTGAAGAAGATGTCATTGAGGACTGTAGTCACTAAAGAGGAGAAGTCAATACCTGGCTTCAAAAGATAGGCTGACTCTCTTGTTAGAGACTAATGCAGCTGGTGACTTTAAATTGA